TTAAACCAATCAGAGTCTCACGTCATATTCCCTTTAAGAGTCAGTTGCGTCACGCCATGGTGCATTTGCTATTTACATGACGAACTTTGAAGGTGTAAAACTTAATTAGTGAGAAAACACTTAAACAGAGCGTCTGCAGCGCGAGGATAAAGAACGAGCCTCCTCCATTCAGCCTCTTTACCTTACTTTTACTCTTTACTCCTTTACTTTGGTGGAGTGAGGAAACGGTGGAAACTCACTCCACTGAACACATCCATTAGTCTACATATTTAATTTAGTTTGTTAATCCTAAAGATTTGCTTCAAAACTATTTCTAAATTCAGTATTGATCTCCAGCAAAGGAATAAATGAACAGTAATAACCAAGTGTGGTCAGAAAACTGAGTTATATCCAAGCACACGTCCTTTTCTTATGCCCAATATGGTGATGCAGACGTCTCCAATACCTCACAGGTGGACAAATCTACACTTGTTTTTATTAAAACAAATATAAATACTCATATAATAATAATAATATTATAATAAGAATGCAGATTGTCATGAATAAACTGAAAAAGCCCCCCGAGATGAGGCATGGAGGCAGTAATTTTTGCATTTATGTAGAAAATAATAATTTTTGTAACACTTTAATCCTTTAATTGTTTTCATCTGTAAAGATATCTGTGTATTGCTGTACATCCTGTGTGTATTAAACAATGTGTAAGTGTTTCGACCTGCATAGGCGCATAACTAACGCGCCGTTAACGCGGACTTTAGAGCAGCTCTGGTCAATGGAGCGGTTTCAGTTCCTCAAAATAGCAATACATCAACAATGCGCCTTAACACACCTCCTTTTCAGACCGGCACACCCATTAAGTCCACAAAGTGGCGCAAATAGTTTTGATATTAAAACAACGTAGCGCAAAACATGAAAATTACAGTTGCGCTGGTCTGAAAATAGCAACAAATCACACCAATGGCCTTACTGCGCTGAGTGAATGATGGAGCGCCTTGTTTTGACGTCATTCAGGAGATATTTGTGTACTGCTGTACATGCCTGTGTGTGTAAAAAGCAACAAGCATGCGCGTTTTTAATCTGCATAGGTGCATAACACTAACATGCTCGATAAATAACAAATACAAACTCTGCTTTATTAACTTTAGAGCAGCTTTTAGTCAGTCTATGTCAGTTCCCTCAACATAGCATCAATGTGTCTCAAATATTAGCCTATTCTTTTAAATGTGATTAAGTGCGAACTACTCTCCACTATTTAAAAGGACAGACATATCTTGTTTTGACGTCATTCAAGAGTGTTAACAAGGAGGTCAAACACCCCCCCCCCCCCCCCCCCCCCCCCCCCCCCCCATAATTCGCACCCTGGACATGAGCTCTCAGCAGTGTGCCGAATGCATGTGGAGGTGCAGATGATGCATGTTGTGTTATCTGCGCAGTGTGTGCCGGCTGACTCATTGTGTTCACATTCTGTCCACCGCGGCGGCTCAAGAGTAATTAACATACAATGCATAATAACCCGTAAGTCACCGGGCCACGTGTGCAATCATCAAAACACACTCCCTGCAAAACATTAATTGGGACAGTATCCGCGTCTCTGGGGGCCGAATGTGAATAATAGACAGCGGTCTGAGGAGTCGGAGAGTTAACAAGCCTCCTGCTCTCGCCTGCCGCATTGAAAACCAATCGGCAGGAATGACAGCGACATTATTTACGCCGCGGTTGCTTTATATTGCATCAGGGTAATATGCAGTATGAAATAAAAGGTACATCTCAAAGAGTTCCTGTCAGTCTGGTGCAAGCAAGGCTTCGTTCTCAAACGAACAGCATCAATGAGATTGCTAGACTCGGAGAGGAAAACGTTTGTATTCGCGGCCATTTCAAAACACTCGTATATTTTAATTTATATTTTATAAGCCCTTCGGTTAATCGCGTCAATTCTTCACATGAATGTTTAATTGTATGTTTGATAATATGATTTATTCAGTGGGATTTCTGCATTATTTATCGTGCTCAAATCTCTTCTTAATGTGACGGTCATTTGATAAATATTGGAGGCACGGGCATTGCTAGGTCCCCTATATTTCTATTCAGCGCCCCGACAACTTTTGCGATTAGCTCATGAACTTTACACCACTATATTATGAGTCTTCTTTATTTTCATGTGAAAACGGCAGCAGACTTCCACTCCTCTCCATTTTATTTATATGTTTATTGTTATAAGATCTGCTTATTTGCAGTCCTTTGCTATAGAAACTCTTGTGTGTCATCGTGGAGGAGCAATCGGGTCATCTACTGTTTCCTTTCCTGCTCCCTTCGTCATTACAGCTGTTTGCTCCAGCGACAATGTAACTCTTATCAAACATTTCGCTATTTTTATGATCGTGAAATGTCTGTAGGTTTTTAAATACTTATTAATACGTTATACGTTTATATTTATGCCATTTTGAATTAGCAATGGTCAGTTTTATTTACTCAATACGTTGTTTTTACTACAATAAAAAGGTGTTGAGCGTGTCTAGGCAATGCAGTAAAATACTGCTAGTTTAGTCATTCATTCATTCATTCATTTTCTTGTCAGCTTAATCCCTTTATTAATCTGGGGTCGCCACAGCAGAATGAACCGCCAACTTATCCAGCAAGTTTTTACGCAGCGGATGCCCTTCCAGCCACAACCCATCTCTGGAAACATCCACACATACACACACACTCATACACTACGGACAATTTAGCCTACACATATATATATATATATATATATATATATATATATATATATAA